AAAAAAAAATATTCAACGACATTTTATAATGATAACAAATATAATAACACTAAAATTTATTATAGAATTCGGAATTCAACGACATGGAATGAAATTAAAATTCATAATAATCAAACTCTAAATATCATAAATATCTCCTGCTCCTTGCTAATGTTGAGGGAAAATATCAACATTTTGAGGGAAAATCCCACCATATTTGATAACATGAGTTCTTCCATAAATTTATAAATATGAATTAAAATATTTTTTAAAATTACATAAAATTGATATTACAAATATAAATATTTACGTGTTCATCATGAAACAGTATATGGAATGCGTTCCAGCTCTCCCGTTGGTGATGCGTTTCAACTATTAGGACTGCTTTCAAGTGCCAAAAAAGTTGTTTCTCCTACTCACGAAATCGAGTGTATCTCAGACTGGCGGCATTTATTATCAATGTGTTCTGAAATTTATCTTTTTTTTTCTCTATAAAATTTATCTCGGTTTTTTTTTTTTTTTTTTTTTTTTTTTTTTCTGTGAACTGTGAATGACGTGAACTTTTTTTTTTCTTTTCCTTAAACTGTAAATGACGTGAATTGTTGAGTAGTGGTAGTGCATATGATTTTATACCAAACAACCGTTTTTGAACTAAAGATTCGCATAATTATGTAATAATAATTATGGATCCAATTGTGACTTATCCACATATCCCTATAGTATCTCTAATCAATTAATTTTTGTATTAATCATGTACTGATAATTATGGATCCAATTGTGACTTATCCACAATCCCAATACTCTAATAATGATTATGGATCCAATTGTGACTTATCCACATATCCCTATAATATCTCTAATCAATTAATTTTTGAATTAATCATGTAATGATAATTATGGATCCAATTGTGACTTATCCACAATCCCAATAATATCTCTAATAAACAAATTTTTGAATTGAAGTATGACTTTTTTAAAATTTCGTGTATTATAAATGCAGTAAATATAGTTTCTATATTTAGATTGTCAAAGTTTTTTTTTTTTTGGTCAAAAGTTTCTAAAAATGTATTTTAACAACAACCTTTTTATATATATATAGATTAATGTGATTAAAAGAATTCTAAATAAAATAAACAATGGTATTGAAACAAAAATTGGATTTGAAAACTTGCATGTTTACTTTTTAAAATAATTTTACATGAATATTTACCTTATATATAATTTCTAAACGTGGTAGAGTCTAAATGGAAGACTCGCACGTTTAGAAATTTTATGTACCAAATTATAATGTTATATAAGTTGATAGATATTAAAATATTGTTTCACCGCTCTAATTAACCACTACAATTGCCATTTGTATTGTAAATTATGACCATTACAACGTGGAAACTCCATTTTTCAAATTAGGTTTATTTTCATTCCAACTATTTTATTATTTTCTTAATCCATTGCAGATGATTATGGGTGATTTCAAAATGAGAGTGTTGATTAGGTTCCTTTATTAATAATATTAAAGTTAACTATTATATTTTTGAATCAATTAAGAAAGCAATTATATAAACTCTCTTGTGCTTTTTT